TGTGGATGCTTTGGAGAGGGTGCAGAGGAGGTTCACCAGGATGCTGCCAGGTATGGAGGGCACTAGCTATGAAGACAGGTTGAGTAGATTAGGATTATTTAAATTAGAAAGACGGAGGTTGAGGGGGGACCTGATTGAGGTCTACAGAATCATGAGAGGCAGAGACAGGGTGGATAGCAAGAAGCTTTTTCCCAGAGTGGGGAACTCAATTACTAGGGGTCACAATTTCAAGGTAAGAGGTGAAAAGTTTAAGGGAGATATGCGTGGAAAGTTCTTTACGCAGAGGGTGGTGGGTGCCTGGAACGCATTGCCAGCGGAGGTGGTAGAGACGGGCACAATAGCATCATTTAAGTTGTATCTAGACAGATACATGAATGGGCAGGGAGCAGAGGGATACAGATCCTTGGAAAATAGGCAACAGGTTTAGATAGAGGATCTGGATCGGCGCAGGCTTGGAGGGCCGAGGGGCCTGTTCCTGTGCTGAAATTTTCTTTGTTCTTTGTTCTTTGTACTTATGGAGGCAGGGCAGGCAGTGGTGTTAAATTAATACTTTGCTTCTGTCTTTACAAAAGAGAAGGATGCTGTCTAGGTCATGGTGATAGAGTTTCTTCCTTCGTTCCTCAGAAAGGTTTAAAATTAATAAGTAAGAGATTTTGGATAGACTATTGGCACTTAAAGTTGACAAAGCACTGAGACTGGGTGCAATGTATCCAATGATTTTAAAGAAAGTAAGAGTATAAATGGCAGACGCACTGACCATAATCATTCTACCTCCCTTGTACAATGGGGAGATACTGGAAGACTGGAGAATTGCAAACATTATAGCCTTGTTCAAGAAGCATAAGGATAATTGCAGCATTTATAAACAAATCAGTTTAACATTGGTAGGAGAACTTCCAGAGATATTTATTATTGGCAGTCGCATGGAAGAAGGTGATTGATTAGGAAGAGATTTCTAAAGGAGAAATAGTTTAACAAACTTGCTAGAGCTTATCAAAGAGGTAACAAAGGTTTGATGAGGGTAGCGCTGTTGATTACAAGTACCACACAACAGACTTGAGGAATGTTGTAGAACGTGATTAAAGGGACAGTAGCAATATAGGTATAAAATTGGTTGAGTAATAGAAAACAAACAATAATGGTCAATGGATTTTCTTTAGGCTAGAGGAAAGTTTATAGTGGAGGTGTGATGATTCCATCACTTTAAGTGATTATTTTGTCCTGGTTTTTTTTTTTGAAGAGAGATAGTAAGGCAGAGCTGCTGAACTGCCTACTGAGGGCAACTTGAGTAAACGGCTGGGGAGGCCTTGGGTTTTTTTAACAGCCAGAATTGGTGTGGCCAGCTCCCCCAGATCCAAATTTCTGGGTTTTGTTTTTTTTTTTCAGTAACATCAGGAGATATTAGGGTCTCAAAAGAATTGGAAGCTTCAGTTAATGTCTCTTGGCTGCTACAGTCTCTGGATCTTGCCTTGATTTTTTTTTCCTCCTGCATTGGAAAATTGCATGTGAGAATCTGTCTCTGAATTTTCCTTTTTGCCAAAGGGGGCAGTTTATGGGATATTACTGTCTTGGAATAATTAATTAGTAATAGTTACTGTATCTATTATTCTGTTAAATTTCCCAACTGTTGAGTTATTCTAAATTTCTCTTTCTTTGGTTGTATTTTGTGTTTTCTTAATGTTGAGTAGTTTGATCAGTCATATTGCATCTAAGACATTTTAATTTGCTTTTAAAATAAGAAAATGTTCAGGTCTAGTCTACCTTCTTAAAATATTTTTTGAGGGGGTCTGATCTGGTACATAACAGGAGGTCTATAGGGGTCAGTATTCAAACCCTTGATTTTCATAGAGTAAACACTATTGTAGAATCCCTACAGTGGGAAGCGGGCAATCTGGCCTATCAAGTCCACACCAATCCTGCAAAGAGCATCCCACCCAGATTCACCCCCCTATCCTAGCCCTGTAACCGTGCATTTCTGATTGCTAATCCACCTAACCTGCACATTTGAACTGTGGGAGGAAACTGGAGCAACCAGAAGAAACCCATGCAGACACAGGGAGAATGTGCAAACTCCACACCGTCACCCAAAAGTGGAATTGAATCTAGGCCCTTGGTACTGTGAGGCAGCAGTGCTAACCACTGATATGTATTTTCCTAATACATAAATTAATAATTTGGATCTTGGTATGCAGGGGACAATTTCCGAGTTTGCAGATAACACTATACTTGGAAGAATTGTAAACTGTGAACAGGATTGTGTGGAACTCGACTTTGACAAATTGGTGGAGTGGGCAGGTAGGTTGCACAATGAGATGAGGTGATGCACTTTGGACAGAAGAACACTAAAGGACAATACACAATGCGGAGTATTGACCTAAAGGTGGTGCAGGAACAGTGGGACCTGGGTATTTATCTGGATAGATGATTGAAAATGGCAGGATAAATGCAGAGAGCAGTAAATAAAGCAAATAGTGTCCTGGGCTTTATTAATAGGATCATACAATACATGAATATGGAAGTGATGTTTAACTTATGTAAGACATTTGTTAAATCTCGCTGGATTATTGTGTACAGTTATGGGTTCAAATTATAGAAAAGATGTGACTGTACAGAGAAGAGTGTAGAAGTGATTTACAAGAATGGATCTGCTAATTTATAACCTTAATTACAAGGATAGATTGGAGAAGTAGCATTCTGGGAGAGGAGAATGCTGAGAGGAGATCTGATAGAGATTTTCAAAATCATGATTGGGCTGGGAAGAGTTGATAGGGAGAAGTTGTCCCTGTTCATAAACAGAACAAGAATGAGAAAGCATAGAATTAAAGTGATATAGAAAAGAGCAAGAATGATGTGAGAAAAAGCTTTTCATTTAGTGAGTAGTCAAGCAGGAGGTGAATCATCAAGAAGTGGGGTGCTGTTGTCAGTTTGTAGGTTATGAAGACGACTAGAGATTTCAGACAGATGCGTGTATTAGTTTTTGAGGTTCTGTGTCAATGGTGTACTTCATTAGCTGTCAGTAGTGATTCTGTGAGGAGTATTATTTCCTGGAACTTCAATGTGTTCTAGCACAGGAAGCCGCTTGAGCTGTTTTGGTTGGAATGTTTCGGAAAGAATCTTGGTGAAGTTTGGGGAATGATAACTGCTGTGTTTGTGTTGCCAGTCCTGACCCAGATGGAGTAGCTGCACTCCGCTGTTGAGTAGACCATGGCAAGTGCCACTTGCATTGACTCCACTGCCCCTGGTGCTATCCATCAGTTTCCATATGAGATTCATTCCCATCTTGACCTTAGCTCCAGTGCTTCGGAGGTGTTGCTAGTCATAGAGTCATTACAGTCGTGCAGCATGGAAACAAACACTTTGGGCCAACCAGTCCATGCCGAACGTAATCCCAAGCTAAACTAGTCCTAACTGCCTGCTCCTGGCCCATATCCCTCCAAACTTTTCTTATTCATGTACTAATCCAAATATCTTTTAAATGTCATATTTGTGCCCACATCCACCATTTCCTCAGGAAGTTCTTTCCACACACGAACCACTCTCTGTATAAAAAAAAAAAAAATTGCCCTTCACGTCTTTTTATTAAATCTCTCTCCTCTCACCTTAAGTACTTACCCCCTAGTCTCTAGTGGAGAATATATGGTCTAGAGTGATGGCAGGGCATTTTAGAATTGGGTCTTGGGTAAGAAGTCAACAATAGAATGAGACATGAAGTTCTTCCCAGGCCATCAAGTTGTTCCAGTAAAAGGATAACTAACAATTTTAGCTGTATTTAGTGAAAATTGCATTTTCTGAAACAGGTTTCCAGACAACGTCAATCTTCAGTGAGTCAAGGTATGGAATGAAGTGTGGTTGGAGGCTGTTTCCATTGAGGCATTGAAGAGGGCATTGGGTGATCATTTAAATAAAATAGTGTGCAAGGAGATGGGAGAGAAAAAACAGGAGATTGGCTGTAGGTAATGATGCTCAATTGAAGAGCAAACGCGATGGACCAAATGACCTCTTGCTTCACTGTAGCAATTCTGAGAGATAAATGCAGATATCTTGGAGATTACACAAAGAGGGAGGGGTGAAGACTTGGAGGTTTTGAAATCTTATATCGAAATGTGCTTGACCAGGATGTATGTAATTGAGCACACAGATGAATGGGACTAAGCTGCCTGTGTCTTCGGGTTGAGTTTTGTATGTCCAAAAGTGGTGAGGAAATGGGAGGCTGATCAGGAGTGTGTTGGAATTGTCAATTCTAGCGTGCGCAAAGCCACGAATGAATGATAGTCAAAATGTGTTGTTATCCTTGAACACCATTCAGCATTGTGTTGAGAAAAATGCTTGTCACACAGCTCCTAAGGCCAACGTTTTGTGTAAAAGGTGGTTTCTATTCAGACATATCAATGGCAGAGATATAGCTGCAGCAAAAATGAGGTGCTTCTCTTACCGTCATAGGTACTTGTACTACCTCTGTTTGAAACTTTGAACAACAATAAATGAAAACTGTTGATGCTAACAGTGTCTCCAATTGGTCACGCTATTTAGTTAGCCAGCCTGATCCAAACAGGATCTCAAAACCTGAGTTATTTAAGTGAGTCAAGGGATGACTAGTAGCATCATTACAAGCTTCAATAGCACATTAGATTAGATGCTGGGAAGTAATTTTGTACAGAATATTGTCTAATGGTTGCTAATACTGGAGGTTTGTTTTAAGCATTCAAAAAACCTGCTAGGCAATTGGCTATAAAAGAAAGATATCTAAAGGCCCAGAATATTCTTGGGTTATTTGGGTTTAGTGACATTAGTTAACAGGTTTAATTGCTTGATCTGGAGTGGAGAGGAAATCCCATGAGTTTTCTTTCCAAAGTGACCTAAATATTTTTCACTTTTCCTTGAAGATTGACTATGTGCAGATGAATGAGATAAATGACATATGTAGGTTGCGTCTGAGTTGGGGGTATATAAATGGTGCACTTCTTAATTCTTTTAGCATTTTGTTTTTGTTTACCTTCTAGAAGCTCTCTAGCAGCCATAAAGCCCTAGTGGAGATACAGGACCACATATCGGAGCTTCTAAAATCAGCTGTACGCGAGTTTCCATCCTCTCGAGTAAGTAGTAGCGTAAAAGACATACACTTTTATCTGTGATAACAAGGTGCAGAGCTGGATGAACACAGCAGGCCAAGCAGCATC